TTATACGAGCTGAAAGCAAGCAGGATATTCTAACTATAAAGCTGGTCCCATTCAATGGAAGTCCACTACAATATGTGGAATTCATTGAATAGTTTAGAATCCACATCCACAACAAGCCACAATTGAAAGATGACACGCGAATGGTGNTGATCGTAGCTGTGAAACATTGTGGTAGATTTATAATAACAGGAAAATCGGTTTTATACTTCAAAAGCAGCGGAAAGGTAAAAATTACGCGACCAATTGGCTGGCGGCTTTGAACTTTATCTTAATCGATTTGGCTGAAAATTAAAGTTTGTGTAATTATGGTGGCTTGAAATAGTTAATCGCCCACTGGCGACCAGCTGTGAAATTCTGGTCGCCAGTGCAAAATTTTTAGTCGCATTGGCGACCAGGAAAGCGCAATTTCGGACACTGACAATACTGGATTAACTGACTGCTATATAATTGTAAATTAAATAACACATTAAAGTAGCGAATGTGACAATTTTACTCTACACGCAAACATTTGTAACTTGATACTTTCGTTTTCCTCGCAAAGGTATACAAATATACAGAAATATTAGCTTTTTGAAGCGATCAAAGAAGTAACGTAGGTACATGCACCATCTATTTCACATGGTGCTCACAAGTACCTACCCCATCCTACCCCCCTTGCTGCAAGCCTAATTAATTACTTGAAATTAATTAATTAAACAAACCTTAAAATATACACCTTATTGCCATAGTGTCATAGTGCCATAATACCTTATAGCCATAGTGCTTTAGCAGACGTCAACCCCCAGACCATCCCAATAGTGCACTCCGTACTAAAAATGAGAAACATTGCTGATAAAATTAAAATTAATCACTCCGTAAGAAAATTGTTTCACCTTCAGATCGAATATAACTTAAACTACGCTGCAACTGCAAATAAAAGCTTTATCCATTGGTCAGCAGATTTGTTCACAAAAATTCTAAGAGGAAGCAAAAGAAGCGAAGAAAGGAAGGAAGTATCCAGTCAATCTGCCACCATTCTTACAACTTGGATTTTCCAAGTTAAAAAGGGAAAATAGAAAAAATTATATCAAGATCTCTTCTGTTTTCACAAGAATGCATGCATCGCATATTGTTGAGAAGACAGATACTGAAGTGGCATGGTGTGTGAATAGTGTGCACATGCTCAGAAACATCGTGAATTTGTTAGTTAGCACATGATTATTACATGTATCAGTTAAGTTGCATGTATATGTACAATTTTCCCTTTTTATGAGTTACCGTTTTTTGAGGAGTTGTTTTCACAGTTTTTTGGGTTAGTTTGAAGTTTCCTGAATTACTCTTTTTGGAGGTATTTTGACCCATTAAAAGAGCTTGTTTTGAAGAGTAAATCTCGTAACAGCTTATGAACATATACTGCTAGTAATCAAAGATTATGAGTGCGTTCGTCTCCCACGCCTTTGATATTTTAACTTAAACAGCTGTCCGTTGCTGAAATCATTATCTTTGTGAACAACTGAAGTTTTACAGACAGATGTAACATAATGACAAAGTCCACTATTTTTCTGTAGATTACAGTCAAACCTCAATTAAGAGGCCACTCTGAGGGACGAGACAAAACGGTAAAAAACAAAACAAAACAAAATCACCCTTGGGACGGCAAGATGCTGACCGCAGCCGCTTAATAGAGGTGGCTGTTGAATTGAGGTTTTTATTACAGTGTACAGCTGACAATTTTTTCCGGGATCCAAATAAAAGTTGGCCGCTTAATAGATGTTTGGCTGTATTTTGATTTCCTGGCTTTTTTGTTGACATGTTGAGTGACAGCTCCAGTTTCGGTAAGTCACAAGTTTAATAGAATATTTGCCTTCAAAATTCATGCTAAAATCTCATTTTACTGGCAATTTTTAAGCGTAAAGGCTAATTTTTAAATGTACACCTGTGTTACATCTAGTATTCTAAGCTGGAAGCACAAATATCAGCTAGCATTTGCACTCTCGTGCTGCTTTATCCACGTTTTATTGTAAACAAACTCTGCGCAACTGGAAACTGTTTCGAATATTTCTGCTGATGAATAGAAATAGGCAGCATTTACATTGCTGTTCCTTAGTGCTGGCCTACTCTCATAGATCTTGGCTTCAGAGTACTCTTCCATCGATTCAATTTTGAGCTTTGTTGAATACTGAACTATTTTTGGCCACTGGAACTAAGTACTTAAAGTCAACAAAATTTCTTTAATGTACTCAAAATATAGCCAATGAAATATAGCTGTTCCCACGGTTAACATCCCAAAGCCAAGGCGATTCAAAGTCGTGGTCATGAACAGAATAACTAATTGTTGTCCCATGTCGCATCCTGACAAAAGAGGCCACTCACAGTCCAGAATCAAAACAACAAACGAGTGATCGCGAATGATCTAAAAAGCAAATCATCTTGTTTACATGTGCTTTGCAATGATGTAATTTTTTTTCTTTTGCCCGGCCAAAAAATGTCACTCTTGTCTACATTTGGACTGCATTCCCTTTTTTGTCAAATGCAGTCAGAGTGAAAAACCAGTTCAAAGAAGACTCCAAAATGTCGAAAACAATGAAAGAAGCCACAAAAGAGAACAAGAATGATGTGGCAGATGGACACGAAATGTACAACACATGGTTTGGCAATGATGTCATTTGTTTCTAGCCCTGCTGCGGGGCGGCCAAATCGGTGTCGCAAGATTGTACGAAGGTGAACCATCCCATGAAACTTGATTCAAGTCTGCATTAGGACTGCGTTCTACGAACGCAATAATTGACAGACAAAGAAAATTCAATTTGCCACATGGGAAATTACAATCAAAAGGCCCATACGTGAGGCCTTGGGTATGGTACTCACATCTTTGGACTCAAAGTAATGCAGGTACATTCTTTCCAGCTTGAAGTATCTTTTTCCCCAACCAGACCACAAATTCTTGTATTTTTTAAGTTCTCCTTCTTTCTGCAAGGTTGAAGCAATGAACATGTCACAAACTAATTTGCAACTTTACTTCAGTCAAGAGCAAAATGGCACTGTCCATTAGTCTCACTGCTAAAAGAATTTTAATTGGTATTGGTTTAACCTTAAATATATTTAATTTGAAGTTTCTGGAAAGAAAAATAGGGGTCACTGAACATCCAAGATCATTAAATCCATGCAAAGCTATAACAATGGCCATCTGCCCGATCATCGTTCATTTTATTACTTAGCGTGCTCGCTCATGCATGACATGGCATGTGAATTTACATGCGCAGTAAGGATGCACAGAAACAATTAGTGCGAACATACTTAAATGGCAGAAGAACATGAACAGGATCTAATTCATTGTTAACAGCTGGTAACTCAGAAACAGGTTGATCAGAAGCTTTGATTGCAATAAAGCTCGAGATGGTGGAATTAATTAACCTCTCTGGGTAACTCAGTCAAGAAAACACCATTTTGAGCCGATCACATTCCTCAGAAATGTAGCACCAGTTGGAAGAGAGGCAGAAGGCATGATCAAGCATAGAAGAAACTCTCGAGCGCGAAGGCAAGATGCCCACATATTACAGGAGATATGTGGATGAAAAGTTAACTACTATGCCAGATAAATCATCAGCTGATAACTTTCTTGAGACTCTTAACCACTGCCACTCTTCGGTTAAGTTCACTATGGAGATGGAGAATAATGAAATGCTTCCATTTCTTGGCACTCAGCTCCTTAACAGATCTATACAAATCCAAACCCAAATATATGTCAAACCTACCAACACTGGCCTTCTGCTGCATTACAAGAGCCATGTTGATGATCGCTACAAGTGCGGCTTACCAAAAACTATGCTTGATCGTGCCTTCTGCCTCTCTTCCAACTGGTCCTACTTTCCCAAGGAATGTGATCAGCTCAAAATGGTGTTTTCTAGACTGTTACCCAGAGAGGTTAATTAATTCCACCAACTCAAGCTTTATTGCAGTCAAAGCTTCCGATCAACCTGTTTCCGAGTTACCAGCTGTTAACAAAATTATGAACTAGATCCCATTTGCGTTGTTCTACCATTTAAAGACCAGGCTTCAGCCGATGTTGTAGCAGCACAACTCAAAGATCTGAGCCAGAAAATTCAAGTGACTGTCCAGCCCATGTTTGTTAGCCACAAGATCAAACAACACCTGAAACTGAGCAAAGTCAAGCCGTCTACTGTTAACCAACAATCCCTTGTTTATCCATTTAAATGTAATCTGTGTGATGCAGGTTATGTTGGTTACACAAGGCAGCATTTGCATCAACGCATAGACAAGCAAGAGAATGCACCTTCCTCCATTGGAAAACATTTTTGTGTGAAACATTCTTATGTGCCCAAGGATCTTACCAAGAATTTTACCACCTTAAATAAGAGCAAGAACAAGTTTGACTGTCTCATTTATGAAATGTTTTTATTAATGAACGGAGACCAAGTCTCAATGTACAGTCCGACTCAATTTGTGCTAAAGTTTTTAATCATTCGTAATTATGTTATTCTTGCATGCATTTTATTGTTCTTAACACCCTTTTTTACATTTTCATACTTTACATACTTTTACTTCTTTGTTTTATATTTATACTTATGCAAAAGTTTTTATCTCCACTTTTAAACTTGACAATGACCAAAGTTTGGTCGATACGGTGCACACTTTTACCGTTAGACTTTACTTCAAATTGTTTGAAAAAACCTTACTTAAAAATACTTTAAAGTGCCTATGAAGTAAAAAATAATTGCTCCTGATTTGAAAGGCTTTTCAAAGTAAAGAAGAATGGCGTTT